CTTAGGTGCGGGTTAGGTCAGTTTTACTGGTTTTATTATCAGTGTTTCATTTTGTAATGAGTTATGCTATTCATGTTTTGTTTTATATTGTCAAGAATTATATAAATGGACATTTATTCAATATTATGGTAAATGTATTTTATGTATCTAAGTACCTTTTTGCTCGTATTATTGTTAGACCTAAGTATAGGAAGCATAAATTTGAAATGTTTACCCAGTATTTTACTTAAGATAATTATCTTAGTATGCCTATGTTTACATAAAACATTTAGTATGTGTTTTCATAAAGTTTTGGTGAAATTCCTTGATAATGTTTGTTCATTTGCGTAATGCAAACAAAACTTCATATTACCTTTTTAACCAAAAATTGTTAAATATACAAATATAAACATGTTTCATTATATAAGTTTCTAACTATTACACTAAAGCAAAACCTAATGTTATTTTCACTCTTTACTGTAGACACAGACGAGTGTGCCTTGAATACATCAGACTGTCAACAGAATTGCACAAACACTGTTGGCAGCTATACATGTTCATGCAATGATGGCTATGTGGTTAGCAGTCAAAATGCTTCCGAGTGTCATGGTAGTTTTTTTTTTACAACCCTTTATAACTTGAAATTTCATTGTATATATAGACATGATTGCTCTTTTCTATACAGAAAGTTATTTTTTGTAGTGAACGGACAAATTGTTTTTTGAGTCTGTAATTATAAAATTAGGTTTAAATCAAAAGATACACATACTCGTATTTGTTTAAATTTGTTTATAATAATAATACATTTTTTTGTGTTTACATTTTTTATTAAAAAATACACTTTTTTGTTATTTACATGATAAAATAGTATTATAATTATTTATTTTCTCTTTAATTGTTGTTGCATTTAAAAAAAATATATATTTATGACATATTTTTTGCTAGGAATTTCAACTCACAATGTTCAAATCGCATTTAAAATGGATGTGACTGGAATTGAACTGGAAAACATTAACAGCACAGACTACCAAAAGTTAAAACAAGAAGTGGAATCACGTGTATGCTTACTCTCTTGTTTTAAATTAGCATTCAATGATTTTTTTCTAACAAAGATATTTTGAGAAATCCAGTTAAAGATGATTCTACAGAGCCATAATAAATTATTTAACTAATTTTTAAAAAAAAGTAGTGTTTAATTTAAATTTGTGAAAATGTTAATGTAGAAGCAACTTCAAAAACATATCATGCCACCAATTTCCCAAATTAATTCATTGAGAAAGCTTCTGATAGAGTTATAACCATTTATCAATATGATTACAAATGAAAAATAGGAAATATTAAGAACAGACCATTTAAAATAAAAAAAACTAATAAAAAGGAAAATAAATTGTTACATTTTTATAGGTTTTAAATTATCCTAATTAATTTAAATTTGTATTGCTAATATTGTTAATATGCAAACGCATATAATAAAGCAGATGCTAAAACAAAAACTATGAATAGGCTAAAAATGTGTTAACATTAACATTGTATCTGCCTATAATTTTTCTAATTTATTTTCCAAAAATACTGCTCATATTGTGAATTTGCAAACACATTTGCATTTATTCATTAGATGTTCAAGAGACTGCATGCAACTGGCTTGGCTATACTTGATGTTAAAGTTAAGAAAATGAGGTAAGATTTTAGCAAAGAAATAGTAGCATAGTAAAGTACTTTTTGGAACCTCACAGTCCAGTAGAGTACACCTGTTTCTATAACTTCTGCATATAAAGGTATGGTGTGGACAACATTATGCCCAGCTGCCTTTACTTTAACTTAATGGTAGTTAGGTGCCCATCAGAGCTGGGTGAACCGAGGGTTGTTCTACTGATTTGAACCTGTATTTGAACTCTAGAATTTCAGGTTAGCAGTATAGAGCTCTACCACTGGGCCACGCTGTCCCACATACATATAAAATGTATTCATTGAGATTTCTATCCTATTTTATTTTATATAAGTATTATTTGATTTTTCTTTTCCCTAAATAGCTTTGTATTTTTCTATGGATTAAACCTATAAAACCTATTATATTTATTTTCATATCTCTAATAACATTCATTCTTTTAGAATTCATCTCATAACACTGTGACTTTTTCTCTTCTTGAAGAAAGGGCAGTCTCATCACAGACCTTGTTGCATTGATTGACAAAGTGCTTGAAACCAACCCAGAAAAAGCACTGAAAATTTCTCTACAGTTAGCTATTGGTGAAGACATTAACTTGGATAATAAATCTTCTGTTATTATCAATATCACTGTGGAATCTAATCCAGGTAAGATTAGGGATACAATTTAAGAATATTGTTGAGAAAAGCATCCCATCATTTGAATTAAAGCTCATGGTTGCTAAACTGAAAAACCGAGTTTGAACCTTCGGGCAGATGAGGCTCGTTAGCTGGGGACAGCCACTCTTCTAGGAGAGACAACTCCAAAATCAAACAACTGCTGCCTTGTAGTTTGTTCTTGGTTGGACAAAGGCTATGGAAGCAAATCTAAAAAGAAAAGGAGGCTGAAATCGGAGTCAATGGCCTCAATGGCGCATAACCAATTGACACGTAATCCTTAATTGTGATGGAAGCATGGTCGAGTCGGCAAAGCTCACGGTTGATAAATTCGAAAAAGTCTCGAGTTCAAACCCTCTGGCAGATAAGGTTCGATCCCTCCCAACACTAAAAATTAAGAACGAAGAAGAAGAAGATTTGAATTTGCATAGCATTAAAGGATGTAAGCCTTGTGATCCAATGCTCATATTTATTATAGTGGAGCGTAGCCTATTGGTAAAAATTGTGATTTATAATAGCAATAATAAAGTTCATGTCTTGTCTTTGTCTTGGTTTTTAATAGGCATAGCGTGTGCAGTACATTGAACAACAGACATTTAATATTTGATATAAAGTACAATAACAATCAGATAAATAAAATTACTACAAGAATTATGATTATTTAACTCAAAAACAGACAGGTGTTTTATGCACTTTAATATAATAGAAAGATTTGAATAATTTAAAATTTGTTAACAAAAACCTTTTTTGTTTAGTCTACGCATCCACTTGTGAAGTACGAAATCGAACTAATCCGTGCAAGGGGAGTGAACGCTGCTCAATTGAAAATGGTTCCACGGTTTGCCGGTAAGTAACTGGGGTTACCAGCTTTTATTTTTTTTAATTTAACTATTTTACCACATATAGTTAAATAAATAAATAATCTAATTTTTTAAATAAGAATTATTTGTTGATTAGTCATTTGTTTTCTTAAATTTCTTGTTTTAACTGTCTTGTTTTTCTTAAATTTTTTTCAGAGTTGAAGAATCACGTATGTTTATTTTTCAATTTTATATAAGTTGAGAAGTTATACACTTTAAAATATTTCTATCACAATTATTTTTAGCTTGCTATTTATAATAATTTTGTTTGGTTAGCAAACTTATTCTCAATGACTTGATACATCTTAATTTACCTTAAAGTTTAATTAGTAAAAACATATTATAGATATATCAAATCTCTCATACTATTATTAATCAGCTATTTTACTTTATCTATTATTGCGTTAATAGGAAATTCAATTGTTTGTATTAATTATACTTTGCTGCTGGTGAATGTTTAATTAACATTAATCCATTTTAAAGTAGCAAGCTGTATATATAAGTAACTGCAGATCACATTTATAATAATAAAACAATATGGCTTCCAAAAGTACGATAATGTTTTAAGTATGTGTATGCTATTATTATAATTATGTATGCTCTTTAAAATCAAAACAGGTTACCTACAGATCCTTCTAGGACTTGCCATTGGATTACCAGCTGCAACGATTATCTTAATTGTATCAGGGCTGGTAATTTACCATTACTGCCAGAAAATGTCTAAAAAAAATAAAGTTTATATTTAACATTACATTTTTTAAAATTACAATTTTAAGGAAAATATCAATTGTTTATGTTTAACTACTATTTAAATATATTTTTTGTGTGTAAATTTATTATATTTTTAAATTTACTAAAATAGCTTGATTAAAATGTTTAAATTTCACAGGATTCAATACATTATTAATAAATTTGTTCTTCTTTAAATTTCCAAATAAAATATCATTACATTACTATCGTCAAACAAATTTTACTTATATTAAAACAACAAACTACTTTGTTATTAATCTTCAAAATGCAATAACATGGATTAAAAGGAATAATAATATTTACAATTTATTCAATATAGATAGCTTTATTATACATATTATTATTCTATAAAATTTTAATCAGAAATTGGTTGATTAAAATCATAATGATAAGCTATAACTATATGCCATTTAATATAATAAGTATTTACTATATAATGCTCCTTGAAAATAAATAATCAAACAGTTTTTATTTAGATTAAAATAACTATTAAAGTTATTTAATTGTACAAATGTTTTGAAATTACTTTTTAAAGGATTCTCTTTGGAATTTCATATATTGTTTTATAATTTATATGTTATATATTTTACAGGTCAAGTTTAAAATTTAAAAAATGTAAAATGTAAAAACATAATATTGGGTGGCTGAAACACACATTTTAATTTTATTTTCAAATTTATGTAACTACAACCTTAGTTTGTTTTTAAATAAAACTATATAAGCTCTAGTGTTTACTGTAAAATTGCCATTCAAAATCTAACAGAAAAATTATTTCTTTAACATGTCATTGACATTAATATTTAAATATGAACGTTTTTACATATATACATGTTTATATCTATATATTTAAGTGTAGGTGCAAAATATTATGCTTTTTCGGGTTGAAAAAGAAAATTATTATTATATGTTTTAAAATATATCTTTTTAGCATTTGGAAACATATATTTCCAAAAGCCAATTTTATCATTGTAGACAAAGTTGTCAAATAAACAAAAAATACTTGTGAAAAATGTAATACTTATTCACAACAAAATAATTACAAATATTTAGGTCTGAAGATACCAAATTTTTGTTTTTTGAAGTATTTAGAATATTTTATTTGAGCCTGATTACAATATTTGTAGATCTTGTATATATCAATTGCCTTAAATTAGTTAACTAAACTTCTGAAAAATCATGGTTTTTTTAAACTTTCCTTTTCTGATACATCCTTAGCCCCTAAGGAAATAAAAAAAAAGGCAATTTTAACAACGTTTCAAAACAAAAGTATGTTTCTTCTGTTTCTTGATTGGTGTTTATTTTATTAAAAGAATGGGACTTACAAATAAAATTTATTTTGCCAATATGCATATAATGTTGGTATATTTCTAGGATTGAACTAATTTTCTATTCTATTTTAATATCTAGCTCCTATGCTATTTTTAAACACATAACTATCATCAGCACACCAAAAAAACAATCCAAAACAAATTTTTGCTGCTGTGACTTTTGAGAAAGCATCCTCTATATTGTCATCTTATTCCAATTTTAGAAATAAAAGGCTTTTTACAATTACCCCCACCCCCAGAATAAATATGCTGTTTTCTTATACTGAACAACATCATAATTGTATATATATATGAATGTATATAAAAGCATATATATACGAATGTGTATATATATATATATATTTATATAGGCCTATACATATATATATATATATATATATATATATATATATATATATATATATATATATATATATATATATATATATATATATATATATATATGTATGTATATATATACCACCTCACCTTAGTTTCCTTACTCCTAAAATTAGAGCCAATAAAGCGATACAGATACATAGGCCTATAATGATGTATAACAGCATTAGGTTGTTCTGATCTTTCACAAAATTACGACTATATAATGTTGGTATTACATCACTGTCATTTGCTGTCCATGAATTATTAGTCTGTATCAACCCAAACCAGATAAATTATATTCTTAATCTTTCACATATCTGACGTAGAAGCTATACGCAGTGGCGTAGCGAGGTCGGGTGTCACCTGGTGCGGCGCTTAATGGTGTCACCCCCCCCCCCCCGCCCCCAAAGCCGTTGCAATCCTTCCCGGGGACAAACTTTCAAGTATCCGATTCGCACCCCCCCCCCTCAAGTTTTCGATTTCCACCCCCCACCCCCTCAAAATTTCGATTTGCACCCCCCCCCCTTTCAAGTTTTTCTCTATATATTTTGCTATTTTTTGCCTTGGTGTCAACCCCCTAAATGGTGTCACCCGGTGCAGTCCGCACCCCCCGCCCCCCCCCTCGCTACGCCCCTGGCTATACGCTTCCTTCAGCTTACACTTGATTAGTTTTTTTAGCAAATAATTATTTTCAAATCTTTACTTTAAACTGTAGAAATTATTTCAAGAAATGACAGAAAGGTCTTTTTACATTTCAAAAATTTAAAAGTTTATTATAACAAGCTTTTATATATGAACAAAAAACAAATGAATTAAACGACTTGCTTTAAATAGAGAATAATGCACCACAACTTAAAAAATTCAAAGAAAACGTTTGATGGTTTTCTATACCGTAACTAAATTTTTTTTAAATGAATAGAATGGCTTTTCTAAAAATATAGCGCTTCACATTAACGTGAACAATGTGTGTTTAAGCATAGAAAATTAGTACTTTATTATAAAAAATCAACGAAAAACAAAAAGTTAAACTTTTTCATCTAAAAATAGTCAAATTTTTATTATACATTGCATTGTCATCGTGTCTTTGGCAGACGTATCCAATTTGGAAGAAATCGAACTGTCAGTCAGAAGTTTTTGAAAATTCTATTTAAAGTTTTGACCCAAGGCGAAGTAAAACTACAAAAAAACAGCAGGGAGAATTGAGTAAATAAAAAATAATTGATGCAAAAACTTGTGAACTCACTATCCAGGCAGTAGTCACCGGCTCTGTTTGGTGCACACGACTTACAAACTCCAGTAAACTGACAGTCCTGATAAAAGCACGTCATCATACACATCTGGTCACACTGAGCCCCGTACCTTCTGTTTCGACATTCTGAAATAGATGTTGTTGTTTTGTTTTTAAATCCTATTCGTAAAATAAATGATTAGAATGTGCATTAAATAATTTAAGAAAATATCTTTGTCATCACCATAGTTTTGAGTTGAGCCCACAATGGTAGAAACTAACAGAGGTAATAATAATAATACAGTATCCAGACTAACGGTCTACGAGTAAAGCTCAAAAATGGTCATTACAGCATACATTGGGTTATAATACGAACTGCGTTAGAAACACTTTTGTGAGGCTCGTTTGTCTCTAAAATATTCTCTTGCCACAACCAAAGGACCTTGACGGGTTTGGGGTGTGTAGATTATGTTATAAACACGCTAGCAATGCAATGCAATGCAATGCAATGATATACAATGCAATGCAATGCAATGCAATGCAATGCAATGCAATGCTAGGCTAGGCTAGGCTAGGCTAGGCTAGGCTAGGCTAGGCTAGGCTAGGCTAGGCTAGGCTAGGCTAGGCTAGGCTAGGCTAGGTTAGGTTAGGTTACCTTACGTTACGTTACGTTACGGTACGGTACGGTACGGTACGGTACGTTACTTTAGGTTACGTTACGTTAGGTTAGGTTAGGTTAGGTAAGTCTAATAAGGTTGTTTCAAATTATACAGTTAAACACTAATTGTAAATGACGTCTGTGAAGTTGGAAAAAAACCAGCATTAATATAAGCATTAAAATGTATACACTAGATAAGCGTCTAGCTCTCATCTATAGTAATTTTTTTGCTTGTGTTGAATTGGTCTTAAGAATTTTGAAAAACCACCACTTGACTTAGTATATGGTAATCTTCACCGTTCATGTGGGCAGATTGTTAAATAAGATAAACAGGATGTGAAATGTTTGTTTTTGTGTGTGTTTTGTTTTGTTATGAAAGATGTAATAATTACATCTACATCTTCATCTTCATCTTCATCTTCATCTACATCTACATCTACATCTACATCTACATCTACATCTACATCTACATCTACATCTACATCTACATCTACATCTACATCTACATCTACATCTACATCTACATCTACATCTACATCTACATCTACATCTACATCTACATCTACATCTACATCTACATCTACATCTACATCTACATCTACATCTACATCTACATCTACATCTACATCTACATCTACATCTACATCTACATCTACATCTACATCTACATCTACATCTACATCTACATCTACATCTACATCTACATCTACATCTACATCTACATCTACATCTACATCTACATCTACATCTACATCTACATCTACATCTACATCTACATCTACATCTACATCTACATCTACATCTACATCTACATCTACATCTACATCTACATCTACATCTACATCTACATCTGCATCTGCATCTGCATCTGCATCTGCATCTGCATCTGCATCTGCATCTGCATCTGCATCTACATCTACATCTGCATCTGCATCTGCATCTGCATCTGCATCTGTATATATATATATATATATATATATATATATATATATATATATATATATATATATATATATATATATACTAGGCATACTGCCTAGCTTCGCTTAGGTTTTCAAAAAAATTGAGGAATTGAATGATTAATTAATAGGTAATTGGCTGCTAAATTTATACAGTGGAGTAATTCAATGCAAAACAAATATTGATGGAATATTCGCAAACTTATTACTCGCACGGTAATTAAAACTGCAAGGGATTTCTTAATAGTATCAATCAAATATTATAATAAATTACTTTCGCAATTAATTTTTACAATTTCAATACAATGCAAAAATTAATTTATAACAAAATATTTATTTAAATCAATGCTATACTTTATGATTTTTGTTTTTTTCTTGAAAAGAGTATACAAAATATTTAAAAATTATTACATTAAAAAGTTACCTCCCCTGTTCATAGACCAAATGACCAAATCTCGTATAATGAGAATTTCATTCGCGGTCATTTTTAGCCCTCTTAGAGGGCTTTATGTCTGACCAACAGTTTTTCCATACGCCGTAGTCATCTATAGAGGTGTTTACAAAAAATTTGCCAGATGTAAAGTGGGTAAGTGCTCTAAAATCCGTTTTGAAATCACCCTCTGTTTTTCCCATAAAATACAAAGATTATATAGGGAAATACGACTGGTCAGTTTTGACCCATTTAACGAATTTTCCCGGACATGGCGATTTTTTTGTGACACCCCGAGGCGTTCTCCTACCACCTCACAAAATTTCAAGGGGGGTCGTCGGAGGAATTGTTTTTTCGTAATAGAGCTCATATAAAGAGAATTTCACTCTCGGTCACCTTTTAGCCCTCGTCGAGGGCTTTGAGTGAAACCGACAGTTTTCCCTAAAGGTCAAGCCATTTACCTAAGAGCATGCAAAAAATTAGCCAGATGTTAAGAGGGTAAATGCCCTAAAATCCGTTTTGAAATCACCCTCTGTTTTTCCCATAAAATACAAAGATTATATAGGGAAATACGACTGGTCAGTTTTGACCTATTTAACGAATTTTCCCGGACATGGCGAGTTTTTTGTGACACCCTGAGGCGTTCTCCTACCACCTCACAAAATTTCAAGGGGGGTCGTCGGAGGAATTTGTTTTTCGTAATAGAGCTCATATAAAGAGAATTTCACTCGCGGTCACTTTTAGCCCTCGTCGAGGGCTTTGAGTGAAACCGACAGTTTTCCCTAAAGGTCAAGCCATTTACCTAAGAGCATGCAAAAAATTAGCCAGATGTTAAGAGGGTAAGTGCCCTCAAATCCGTTTTGAAATCACCCTCTGTTTTTCCCATAAAATACAAAGATTATATAGGGAAATACGACTGGTCAGTTTTGACCCATTTAACGAATTTTCCCGAACATGGTGAGTTTTTTGTGACACCCCGAGGCGTTCTCCTACCAACTCACAAAATTTCAAGGGTGGTCGTATTAGGAACATTTTTTTTCGTAATAGAGCTCATATAAAGAGAATTTCACTCGCGGTCACTTTTTAGCCCTCGTCGAGGTCTTTGAGTGTAACCGACAGTTTTTCCTGAAGGTCAAGCCATTTACCTAAGAGCATGCAGAATATTAGCCAGATGTAAAGACGGTAAGTGCCCTCAAATCCGTTTTGAAATCACCATCTGTTTTTCCCATAAAATACAAAGATTATATAGGGAAATAAGACTGGTCAGTTTTGACCCATTTAACGAATTTTCCCGAACATGGCGAGTTTTTCGTGACACCCCGAGGCGTTCTCCTACCACCTCCTAAAATTTCAAGGGGGGTCGTCGGAGGAAATTTTTTTTCGCAATAGAGCTCATATAAAGAGAATTTCACTCGCGGTCACTTTTTAGCCCTCGTCGAGGGCTTTGAGTGAAACCGACAGTTTTCCCTGAAGGTCAAGCCATTTACATAAGAGCATGCAGAAAATTAGCTAGATGTAGAGAGGGTAAGGGCCCTCAAATCCGTTTTGAAATCACCCTCTGTTTTTCCCATAAAATACAAAGATTATATAGGGAAATAAGACTGGTCAGTTTTGACCCATTTAACGAATTTTCCCGGACATGGCGAGTTTTTTGTGACACCCCGAGGCGTTCTCCTACCACCTCACAAAATTTCAAGGGGGGTCGTCGGAGGAATTTTTTTTTCGTAATGGAGCTCATATAAAGAGAATTTCACTCGCGGTCACCTTTTAGCCCTCGTCGAGGGCTTTGAGTGAAACCGACAATTTTCCCTAAAGGTCAAGCCATTTACCTAAGAGCATGCAAAAAATTAGCCAGATGTTAAGAGGGTAAATGCCCTCAAATCCGTTTTGAAATCACCCTCTGTTTTTCCCATAAAATATAAAGATTATATAGGGAAATACGACTGGTCAGTTTTGACCCATTTAACGAATTTTCCCGAACATGGCGAGTTTTTTGTGACACCCCGAGGCGTTCTCCTACCAACTCACAAAATTTCAAGGGGGGTCGTCGGAGGAAATTTTTTTTCGTAATAGAGCTCATATAAAGAGAATTTCACTCGCGGTCACTTTTTAGCCCTCGTCGAGGGCTTTGAGTGAAACCGACAGATTTCCCTGAAGGTCAAGCCATTTACCTAAGAGCATGCAGAAAATTAGCCAGATGTAAAGACGGTAAGTGCCCTCAAATCCGTTTTGAAATCACCATCTGTTTTTCCCATAAAATACAAAGATTATATAGGGAAATAAGACTGGTCAGTTTTGACCCATTTAACGAATTTTCCCGAACATGGCGAGTTTTTCGTGACACCCCGAGGCGTTCTCCTACCACCTCACAAAATTTCAAGGGGGGTCGTCGGAGGAAATTTTTTTTCGCAATAGAGCTCATATAAAGAGAATTTCACTCGCGGTCACTTTTTAGCCCTCGTCGAGGGCTTTGAGTGAAACCGACAGTTTTCCCTCAAGGTCAAGCCATTTACCTAAGAGCATGCAGAAAATTAGCCAGATGTAAAGACGGTAAGTGCCCTCAAATCCGTTTTGAAATCACCATCTGTTTTTCCCATAAAATACAAAGATTATATAGGGAAATAAGACTGGTCAGTTTTGACCCATTTAACGAATTTTCCCGAACATGGCGATTTTTCGTGACACCCCGAGGCGTTCTCCTACCACCTCACAAAATTTCAAGGGGGGTCGTCGGAGGAAATTTTTTTTGTAATAAAGCTCATATAAAGAGAATTTCACTCGCGGTCACTTTTTAGCCCTCGTCGAGGGCTTTGAGTGAAAACGACAGTTTTCCCTAAAGGTCAAGCCATTTACCTAAGAGCATGCAAAACATTAGCCAGATGTAGAGAGGGTAAGGGCCCTCAAATCCGTTTTGAAATGACCCTCTGTTTTTTCCATAAAATACAAAGATTATATAGGGAAATACGACTGGTCAGTTTTGACCCATTTAACGAATTTTCCCGGACATGGCGAGTTTTTTGTGACACCCCGAGGCGTTCTCCTACCACCTCCTAAAATTTCAAGGGGGGTCGTCGGAGGAATTTTTTTTTTTCGTAATAGA